GCTGCGGAAATCTTGCCTCCTGGTCTAAACCTTACCAGTGGTTGGCCCAACCATTCTCAAGTAAAATACAGAAAGAAAAAACTGAAAAAAAAAAAGAAAAAAAAAAGAAAAAAAAAAACACCAAAGAACCCCATTCAAGATATCAAGTAAAAGAACCAAAAAAAATAAAAGGTTTTACAGTTGTTTCTTTGAATGCAAATATGCCATACAGTAACAGAAACTAGTTAAATTGAAAGAAACCCATAACTTGGCTGAGATTCAAGAATGGCCCTTGATACCAAAAACAATAAAGAAGCTTTGAAGCATATAAAAAGTGAACAGAACTTGAAAAAACACAACTCAAAAATGAGAAAATTATATATGCTCTCAATCCAAAAGAAAGACCTTCAAAAATAAAAACTCGATTGAAACTTCTTAAATGACATAATTTATTGAACAATTTGATTTACAAAAGATAAACATGGTACATGAACAAAGCCAAAACATTCAGACCTTCAAAATCTTCAACTACGCACTAACAAAAAAAAAAAAATGTAAATAATAACAATATGAATTGTAATATGGCTGGGCATAAAAAATGAAGAAGTAACTTATTGATGATAAGAAATTACCCAAAGAGTTGAACTCCATTAGTTGCTGCAAAAGATAGAATATAATATACATGAATAATATAAAAAATTAAATTTATTGGGTAAAAAAAATACAAAGATTGAATATGATCTTTACCAGTTTCAGAGCTGCCTCACCAAGCTACAGTTCCAATATAATAGACAAAGAACACAGAAATCAACTTCACCCTCTTCAGAAATTAGAACACAGAAATGCTCACATCCTTTGGAACTCAGAAAATACTTGGAATTATTTCATATTCAAAATCATATACTTGGATTCAACCTTACTTTAAATTAAAGCAAATTCCTCAATCACAAACTATATAGACCACCCCCTTCATCTTCATCTTCATCAAACTCAACTATTGCTTGAACTCCTGCAATGGCTATCCCCACCATATCCTCTAAAATCCTTCTCATTGTTTTCTCCTTTTCTCTCCTCCAACTTTCATCTTTCGCCCGAGATTATTCTTTTTTTTTTGTGGTAAAGATTCGCCCGAGATTATTCAATCGTGGGCTATTCTCCTCAAGACTTGACCTCCATGGCCAAACTCATTGAGCTCTTTGAGTCCTGGATGGCCAAACATGGAAAAATTTATCACACTATCGAAGAGAAACTGCACAGATTTGATATCTTCAAGGATAATCTCAACCACATCGATGAGACCAACAAAAGGGTCACCAATTACTGGCTCGGGCTCAACCATTTTGCTGACTTGACCCACGAAGAATTGACGAAAATGTATCTGGGTTTGAAGCCTGAGTTGGCCGGACGGCATGGATCCTCGGATAGCCGGGAATTCACTTACGGGGATGTAGTTGATTTGCCCAGGTCGGTTGATTGGAGAAAGAAAGGAGGGGTTACTCGTGTGAAGAACCAGGGGTCTTGCGGGAGTTGTTGGGCGTTTTCAACGGTGGCTGCTGTGGAGGGGATAGACCAGATTGTCACCGGAAACTTGACGGAGCTGTCGGAGCAAGAGCTTATCGACTGTGACACCACATACAACAACGGGTGCAATGGAGGTCTAATGGATTATGCATTTTCTTTCATAACCTTGAATTTGTCTATTGTGCCATCAACTTTCAGTTTCTTTTTTAAAATCCATTTGCAACTTATAGGTTTGCAACCTGGTGGAAGATCCACTAAAATCCATGTGTTATTCCCCATTCTGGAATTCATTTCCTCATCTATGGCTTCCTTCCAAAAAGCTGAATCTTGTGACTTAATTGCTTCTTCAAATGTCACAGGATCAGCTTCTATATTATAACAAAATCTTGTTCCTTCAATAAGAAACATGTAAAATTCTGGACTATATGTTCTTGCTTTTCTATTTCTTTTGCTTCTTCTAACTTTAATGTTTTCTTTCAACTTGTTTTCTTGCAAGTTGTCTTCTATTCTTTGTTCTGAACTTTTAGCAATTGTTTCTTTAGGCCTAGGAATCGAATTAAATTTGCTCTCTTCAAAGATAATATCTCTTGACTCAATTATAGTATTGATATTAATTGAATCATTTGGTTCAATGACCATAAACCAGTACGCCTTACTATTTTCTACATACCCCAAAAATATACATTCAATTCCTCTTTCACCTAACTTTTTCCTTTTGGGTTCAAGTACCCTTACAATTGCTCTACAACCCCAAACTCTTAAATAGTTAAGGTTTGGTTTTCTTTTCTTCCAAAGTTCATATGAGATAACTTGGCCTTTTTTAGTAGGCACCCTATTCAATATATGGCATGTTGTTAGCAATGCTTCATCCCAAAAACCTGGACTTAAACTAGAATTTGACAACATGGCATTCACCATTTTAGTTAAAACTCTACTCTTACGTTCTACCACACCATTTTGTTGTGGTGTGTATGGGGCTATTATCTCATGGATAATTTCAATTGATTCAAAGTAAGATGGATCATAATATTCTCCACCTCTATTAGTTCTTAGACATTTGATAAATGTCTCACTTTGCAATTCCACTTCTGCTCTATAAACTTTGAATTTTTTTTCATTGCTTCATCTATTGTATTTAACAAGTAAACATAATGGAATTTTGAATAATCATCAATAAAAGTAACATAATATTTCTTGCCACCAATAGTAGGAGTACCATGCATGTCACAAACATCACTATGCACAAGATCAAGCAATTTAAAAACTCTTTCAATCTTAGAAAAAGGAATTCTAGTAATCTTAGTAAGCATACATGTCTTGTCTTGCATTGTGATTCATTTTTAGGCAAGGTAAGAATTAATTCTAATTTAGACATCTCATGCATCTTCCTGAAATTAACATGTCCTAATCTATGATGCCATAAATTAAATGAGTCAAGAATATAAGCAGAAACAACACCCTTATTATTAGTATTATTATTAATGTTCATCTTGAACATGCCCTCACAAGCATAGCCTTTTCCTACAAAAATCCCACCCTTAGACAGAATAAATTTATCTATCTCAAATACAAGTTTAAAACTAAATTTGTTCAACAAACTTGTTGAATATATGGCACATAATGCACATTAGTGAGAGTGAGAACTTTTCCAGAAGTGAACTCAAGGTCCACGGTTCCTTTGCCTTTCACTTGTACTGTTGCAGAATTTCCCACATACAGCACACTCCCTTCAAGTTCTGGTTTTAAAGTCTTGAATAGACTTTTGTCCTTGCAAACATACTTTGTAGCACTAGAATCTATCCACCAAGCAATGTCATCTTCCACGAGATTAATTTCAAAAATCAAAGTAATGAATTTTTCATGTGATAATGCTGGTGCATTCCTTTTCTTCTTGAGAAAATAACTCTCCCTTTTGAAGTTTCCAGTTTTTCCACAATGGAAACATGCACCCTTTTGCTTCTTAAATTTTTTTATTTTTCTTGACAGAATACTCCTTCTTGAAAGGCTTTTTGGGCTAGCTTGAAGTTCCTTCCTCCAATACATGGACATCCGAAACTTGAACTTTCAGCTCTTTTTCATTTTCTGCTCTATTTTGCTCTTCAAGTCTCAAAGAGTTAGCAAGATTTTCAAGAGAAATATCTTCCTTTTTATGTTTCAGTGTTCTCTTGAAATCTTTTCATGCATGAGGAGGTTTATCAATTATTGGAGACACAACTATGGATTCATCCATCTTCATATCATATTGCTTGAAACTATTCAGCAACTTTTCAATTTCTCTAAATTGTTCCATGATTGATTTGTTATCAATCATTTTATAATTATTCCATCTGGTCACCAGAAACTTCTTACTTGTTGCATCTTCATTCATATATCTTGCTTCTAACTTAATTCACAATTCTTTTGCAGTAGACTCATGAACATAGGTATCAAAAAGGGAATCAAACATACCATTTAAGATGCAGCCCCTGCAGACATAATCATCGTTCTCCCACTTTTTCCTTTTCCTTGTATCTTGCAAAGTTTCATTCTCATTTTCCTCTGGTCGAGCATCAGTGAGAACATAAATGATGTTGAGAGTTGTGAGAAGGAGGTGCATCTTGTGTTGCCATCGAATAAAGTTGCCCTCATCAAAGCGATCTAACTTCTGGAAATTAGTAGCCATCTCACGCAAAGTTGCAGCCATAATTGCAAAACAAAAAATTAGCCTAAAGATTGTTGGAGAAATATGGTAGAAAACCTACAAATGGCTTCAAGGCATGCTGCAAATGCCACTTTCCTTTAGGCTAATTTTGCCCCCACCAGATCTGATATGCAAAAGGGGTAACCCAAAATACTCGTAGGATACAATGAAGTGCCTTGTTGATCTTACCTTTGCACTAGCAAGATCAACCACTGAACCATCCTTTGGAAAGCGACAAAACAATAGTTTTTGTACAAGTATTTCTGCAGCAATCAAAGTGCAAAAAGGGGCTGTTTTATTTAGATAATAATAGGGGTTTGTTTCTGGGTTCAAGAGACGAAGAAGAGGAAGACATAACTTCATATTTATAGGGGCAAGATGTTTGTTGGGAATAGACGCTCCTTTTCAGCTTATTATCAGTTTATTAACGGATAGTAACTGAGTTTTCATGAAATTTATCCTTTGGAAACTCTTCCAAAAGTCATTTGGTTTGATTTGAACTCCAACTCACGTGTTTCCTTGCTTTCCAAAGTTAACCACTCTCTTCAGAAACTTATCAAAATTTTATCTCTTATTTCTTATGTGAATGGTTCAAACCAGATAAATGTGGTTCGAATCAAAATAGTAACTTTCCGGATTCTGGTTTTATGTAAATGGTTCAAATTATAATTATATGATTTGAATCAAAGTTACACTTTCTCAAATACATTTTGTGCAATTACCTCGAATCAATTTTTTGTGATTCGAACCAAAATCTTAGAAATATTATGAAAATTCTTCAACACATTTTTCCAAATTTCTCCCCCTCACTGAAATCAAGTGGACTAATCTCGGTAATGCTCGCTGCCCCGTTGCATGTTATGCTAGGCCAGCTACATTGGTCTGCAACGTTGTTGGTGGAGGCATTCTACCACTCACTCTTCCTTAGAGCTTCTGCCTCAGGTGTTGGCACTGCCACAAATGTGCTGCCAGTGCCGGTACCAGGAAGTTTACTTTCTTATTCTCCTCTACTCTCCCCTCAAATGAACTTTTAGGAAAGCTTTCCCCACTAATATCTTCTTTGGCTTAAAATAGGTTTGGCATATATTACCATAGATGATGGGGCAGCTTAGACTTCATATCCATGGATGAAGAGGACACATCACAACCCAGGTGTTTAATTTTCTATTATTGGACAGAGTTTTTTTTCCCAGGAAGTAACCATGAAATTGCCTAGATCACCTACAAAGAAGAATGAATTTCACCATTCCTAGACTAATTTTTTTTCTCTTAAATTACAAAGACTTGGAGATTGAATAGTTTTTTTTTTGTTTTTAGTTTTTATTTATTTATTTTATTTTTTGTTTTGATTTTGTCGTTGCAAGTTTTTTCCATGAAGAAAAATATCACCTTAAAAAAAAGGGAAGCATCCATACATATGGAATTGGTATG